ATGATGCAATCAAGGTAGGTAAGAAGTCTTCTCTGGAAAGTTGACTGCAACACTGTTCTACACAGTAACGTGTACAAGCAGCAACTTTCCAACTGCAGAGTTGACTTCGTACAGTCTCCTCGGGAACTGGTAGGGACCTGGTCCCTTATCTGTTCCTTCCATTCTGAGGAGTTGAATCATATTCTACGGTGAGTCCCAACCTGGAATCTTGTGAACTTGAAGTCTTGTGAATGTGTAACAGGTTCCTTATCTGGTTCTAGATAGTAAGTTTGTTAGATCATCAAAACATAAAGTAGAGTACTTATAGTTGAAGTACATGTAACCTATCAAGAGACTTCTTAAGAAGTTTGAATATTTTAATATCACATCTGTGAGCACTCCTTTTGATGCTAACTCTCAGTTGAAAAAGAATAATGGTGAACAGTTGCTCAGTCTAAATATGCTCAGATTATTGGGAGTCTGATGCATTTAATGAATTTTACAAGGCCTGATATAGCCCATGGTGTGTGTAAACTGAGTAGATATACTAATAATCCCAACAGAGAGCATTGGTCTGCATTAGCTAGACTAATGAAATATTTGAGAGGAACCATGAATTATGGTATCCTATATAGTGGATTTCCTTCTACGTTAGAAGGGTACAATGATGCAAACTGGATCTCTGATTCGGATGAGATAAAATCCACTAGTGGTTATATATTCACCCTTGGTGGTGGTGCAAAATCGTGGAAATCAGCTAAACAGACGATCATTGCTAGATCGACTATGGAATCAGAGTTTGTAGCTCTGGAGTTAGCTGGTTCTGAGGCTGAGTGGCTAAGAAACTTCTTAGCTAATATCCCTTTAATAAAGGACGTATTGCCTCCTGTGTCTATATACTGTGATTGCCAAGCAGCAATAGCTATAGATAAGAATAAATCTTATAATTGTAAAAGTAGACACATGAAACTGAGACATGATGTCATAAAACAACTGTTGAGAGATGGAATAATTTCAATTGACTATGTGAAGTCAGAGATAAATTTGGTCGATCCTCTGACTAAACCTGTGGGAAGAAAATTGATTCTTCAAACCTCAAAAGAGATGGGGTTAACGCCAACATGTTGTCAATAGAGATGGTAACCCAACCTATGTGATTGGAGATCCCATGAAGTAGGTTCATATGGGTAATAACAAGTCAATATTGACACTGAAGCACTAAAAGAGAGTGCTTGACTGCTACAAATTGAGAGCCTGCGTTATAACTCGTAATGAATTCATATTCCTTATGGATGGTGTATTTAAAAGCAGTATACACTTGACAAATTCACCTATATGAGAGTGGAGTGAGGCTGCTCCTATGAGATTTTGGCCTAGTCTCTAGAGCTCATTAATTACTAGGCATGTGCATGGGCTAATGGCGCAAAATCGCGTTGAACAACAAAATTGTGAGGGCCGAAATGTGATTGACCAAAATCTCTAACTTACAATAAGAATTATTGGTTCATAGAAATTATATTTCACCAGTAATTCTGTGAGTTAAATTTTATCGATCTAAATTTGGTTCATAGTCCAAAAGACACCAAACCTATTGCATTTGGACCACACAAATCCAACAAGTTTATTTTTGAAGGTCTTTAAAATAGCGGGGGGACTGTGGCAATATTTTAAAGCCCTTGGACAAATGTCTTAGCCCTTCTAGAAGGCTATGTTAAGTGGCAAAAGAAGTGTAAAAAGTGGCAAATTCCATCCGCCACTTTCTTGCCATGCACAATAAAGTTCCATGCAATTACAACTATAAATAGCCACCATTGGTTACACAATTCTCCATCATCAGAAACAAAAAGCTCTTTCTACTTAGCTTTCTTCTCTTTCTCACCTAGCTTCTCTTATTTCCAATTTAATTTATAAATTTTCTTTGTCCTTATTCTCTTTTCAATCTTGTTGGATTATTGTAATATAAATATTTTGCTGATTCTTGTATCCTCTAAATAAAATAGAGGTAAGCTTGTTTAATCCTACGGAAACATTTCACACTGCTGAAATAGTTTCTTAGGACATTGCCCAGCACGACTCAAGCTAATTCGTGTATCTACTTACAAAGAATATTATTGCAGGTTATTGTGATTTCCCCGTTGTCATTTTACTACACATACATCCAAACTGAACATCCAGTTCTTCCTTATTTCTGTTTATCAAACTACATATGGTAGAATACAATCTTACCATCATCCGCTATGATAAAAGTATGTTATAATTCAGCAAGTTGTTTTATTTATTTTCTAAGAAATATGAACGTCGCCTTTGCATTCATGATGCTAGTATTATTACAGCGTTCAACAAGTTGCCTCATGAACTCTAGTAGTGGCAATACTGGCAGCTCTTTGGCATCCTTATTGTTGCGTACACTAACTCTGTACGATATTTGAAGTCATTGTCCAAGTTTTATTCACTGTTGAATGTGCCAGAGATCTACCTATAGTACCCAAGGTTGAACAAGTTGTCTGTCACCCTTTTATCTATCTATTCAACCTTTACCATGTTGATTAAACTCTTCTAAAGTGTATGCTCTAGCCATGACAAAGTCTAAACCCCTTATCCTGTGATGACTCCGCTAGTATTTAGACCTAATGTTGTTCCATAGATGACACATACATACACAGTGAGGCACACCGTTATACACTAATGACGTCGCCTTCATAATACTTGTAGCCTATCCTATACAAGATACATATTTGCGCTTTCACCACCTCCAATGACCAGAGGCGGATTTATAGGTGTAATTATGGGGCGAATTTATAGGTGTAATTATCGGGCACGTAAACCCATGATCTCTCCGTAAAATTAGATACTTTATGTACATATTTTCTAAAATTGGTATAATATTAACGGTTGACATCCATGCTCCAAGAAGGTTAAATGGTGCACTTGGTTGAATGTTGAGTTATTGATCAAGAGGTATATGGATTAATTCCCACTTGATATATTTTTTTTCTCTTTTTTTATTTGTAGTGCACCCATTTACTAGAAATCCTAGATATGCCTCTGTCCATGAGACGTCATTCTCTTAGTCAACAACGTATGACATATAATTAATATACATTGTATATTAAATTTTGTAAATTTGTATGGTAGTAAATGTTTTACTTATATGACATCACCTGCTGCATACATTGTACTAGTTGTACTACCATACAATTAACCAACAGATATACAAGTTGCATAGAAGTATAAATAACATATATAGTTATACAATAAAAATACACAGTTATATATGCCTTTTTTACAAACTCACAAGTTGTATTCATTGTGCTAGCTACAAGTTAGGTCCCCTTGTAGATGGCTTTAAGGAAGCTACCATCAACTAACACGATAGGCCTATAAGACTCCCATCCCATTATTGATGCGTAGAGAGCTAAAAATGCATACATGAAATATCTGTCCTCTGATTTGTGCAAGCTCACAACTGAACGAATAAGACTTTCTCTAAACATTTGCCCATGAAAACACCCCCAACTACATTGGTTGTTGCTTGACGCTGTGTATAGATCTTATTCTTCAACGAGCATGTGAGGACAACGTAGAATTTGAACATTCTCTCTTCATTCAGGCTTGAAGACTAAAAATGCCACACGCAATTCTCGCTAATGCATACAAGGGAATAGCTACACAAAATAAATAAATTTATCTACTGTTAAATTAAACATACATTATATTGTACCTCGTATATCCCATTTATAATCCAATATTAAAATCCTACAAAGACGAAAGGCAAAAGTGAGGCCAATTGAAGCATGCTGAATATAAAGCAATATCAGGGAAAAAGTTCTGAACTTCATTTTTCAAGATCATTTCCAATGCATATGAAGCTTATAGATAGCCATCATTAACAAGATATTTGCCAAGATGAATGAATTTCTTTCTTTTCGGCGTGATTTTTCTTTTCTTCCTTTCCTCGGCCGCAGGGGGGGAATGGTTGGCAAAATATCCAACTTTAATGTTCAGTACGTATTACCTTTCTTTCCATCCCCATTTTTGAAAGACTTTTGGTCATCTACAGAGTTGCACACAAACCAATGATACAATGTACCCATCAAATGTTTACTTACCTTGAGGTTATCAAGTAAAGTTATGCCGCAAAATGAAAACCCTTTGGTCCTCCCTGATGGGTGCTGTATCTATTGAAAATATATCAACTATTAACATGTGGAAATCATACCAACAATTAATGTGCATAAGACATGTATAGTTACAGAAATAGAAAGAGCTAATGTAGCACTGGGAGTAATACGAACATAACCACTAGTTTTAACTCTTGTAATATAAGATGTTATACTATCTGTTGAGTGCCAACAACTCTCAAGCAAGTTAGAAATTATAATTAGTTCCTCTATTTCTTCCAGATTTTCAAGAGTAATGAACATTATGATAACAGGAAATCATGAAAAACAGACTGCCACCATCACTCAATCTATTCCTCATCAGAGCAACAAAAACATATAGTATAAGTTGTGAAGCTATTTGGACCAAACTCCTGACTTATACCCATAGCTGTGCCAGAGACAAACTCTGATCGAGTCATGCGTAGCCAATTGTTGTTTGCAGCCTCAAAACAACAAGCAAAAGGATGGATGGCGTTCAGAATATCCAACTACTACGCTCAGCATTACCTCTCTTCACCATTTGCTGAAAGACTTGGTCATCTACAACTCTTGCACATAAACCGATTATCCAGTCCATTAGAAACCCGCTAGGCTCACTGAACATTTGTCGCTGAGCATTCACACAAGCAAAGTTAAGCCGCAAAATTGAAACAACCTTTTGTCCTCTCAGGTTGCAAGGATTGTATCGATTGGAAAAAATGATTGTAACAATTGGAAGAATGATATAGGAGTTAACATATCAGATGTAACTTCTATACATAAACACCATTTTCGGAGATCCAACAACTCTCAAACAAGTAAAGGGATCGGCACAGAAAAACAGGGTCTCTGTTCTCTCAGAAGATACTGATTATTAGATTTTTTTCATTTATAAGGTAAAAAAACTTTATTAATAGTGCAGAAAATTGCTGTATGGAAGCAGTATACCAAAAGGTAGAGAATTTACAACATAATATATTCTCTACAAACAATGCCCGATCTTCTACATACACCAGAATTTCATGGGTGCACCAAAAAGAAACTAGAAAAGAGAAGTTATTCCTCAAATGTACATTGTCGTTCTCAATCCCATCAAAAGCTCTCCTATTTCTTCCCTTCTGCAGGACCCAAACGAGTACTAATGAAGCAACATCCTAGGCTCTTCAACTTCTCTTCCTTTCTTCTGAATTTCCAGCTAGAGAGTGCCTCCTTCACCGGGTCTAACATCACCCACTGCATCCCAAACTATCTTTCTAGAAAGCTTCCTAGATCCATAGAGAAGATGTGTATGTTTCCACAAACGAGGCCAATCAGAGACCAAAAAGAAAAGGAGGCCTAGCCAAAGAGAGAAAGAAAAAGGAAAAGGGATCAAGTTATAGCTTCATCAGCAATAATCAACAATTTGGGAGAGATAGACCCCCTTGACAATGGACCCTGATCTTAATTCACTCTCTTGGGTTTGACAATGGCAAGAATTAAATGACTAGAAGAAGGCATAAATTAGAGAGTCAGTGTTGTAGCCTCAGGTTACTTTTCCATACAACTACGGGGGTCATTCATTTGACCATTTAACTTTCACACCACATTATACAGTGCAACAACAAACAAAAAGATAACTAGATTTAAGAATGACTCACCAGAAAGGGAGCATCCAATGTAAAATGTATACCTCATTACTGCACTGGGGTGTTGATTTTTTGGACTCTCACAGCTTTCTGTAATCCATCAATTACGTACTTGCATGTCAGCTGATTTGGCGCAAAACCCACTTTCCTCATTCTATCTTGAAATTTCAACAATTTGGCAATATCACATTCAGCGCTTAGAAGCTTGACAATTGCATTGTAACAAACTGTGTCAAATATTCCAAATTCTTGAGCAAAGAAGCTTAACAGCGATTGCGCCTCACAGAAATTGTTTTCTCTGCAATGCCCATTTACTAAAGCTCTACAAACTTCAATATCAGGCGGCACATCAAAATCAGTCATTTCTCTCATCAAGGAATTGGCCTCCATGCTTCGGCTTACTTTACACAAACTCTTAATTATAGCTCTATATGTACCTATATCGGGCTTCAAATCTTTTGACACCATCTCAGCTTTCAAACACAAGGCCTCATCAAGGTAATTCCATCTGCAGAAAGATTCAATCAATTCCCTATAGACCATATTGTCAGGCTCATATCCATTGTCAGATACTCGATCCAATAGAGCCTTGGCCGCAAATGGTCGATTCTCCATACAAAGAGCAGCAATTAGATAGTTGTATATATCATGAGATACTACAAATCTAAACCTTTGAAGCTCTGTGACTAAATTCACAGCGGAAACTAGATTATCCTGCTTTTGATATCCTTGTACAAGAACCGAACAAGTGAACTTATCAGGGTACATCCCTTCTCCAATCATGTCATGCAAAAGAAACCGTGCTTCTTGCATCATCCCCTCTTTGCAATAACCACAAATAAGAGTGTTATACAAAATAAGATCTGGTTTTAACCCTCTGTCAGCCATTCTCAGGAACAAGTGATGAGCATCTCTCACATTTCCTTTCCTACAAAAGCCATTAATCAAACTAGTGTATGTGAACAAATCTGGTAATACGCCTCTAATGTACATAATTTGATACAAGTAGACTGCATCTTTCAATCTTTCTTTCCTACAATAGCTACTAACTAATGTATTATATGTAACTATATCAGGTTGAAACCCTTCTTCTTCCATTTTCTCCAAGAAATCATTGACCTTGTTCGCATCTTCATCCTTGCACAAGACAAGAGTTAATATATTGAAGGTACACGAATTTGGGTGCACTCCTATTCTTTCCATTTCAGCATACACTTCCCAACATTTTTTGCTATAATTCAACTTTGAAAGTCCATTTAAAAGACAGTTTATGGTAATAACACTCGGGTACATTCCATGCTTCACCGTCTTTCTAAAAGCTCTAAAACCATCTTTCACCATATTCACCTTGAGAAAAGCCTTAATTAGCATATCAAACACAACAGGGTCCCAATTGCATACACCACTAGCTGAAAGCAAACTCTCAAACACATCTACACTGACCAGTCCATCTCTCTTCAAATCAACCAATTCAGACAAAATCTTCATTGCTTGTGAAAAGTTTTTTGACCAAGTCAATATATGAATAACAAGACAGTAGTTTTGAGTGTTAGGTTTGACACCTAAATCAGTCTTGACCCAGTTGAAGAAGCTAAGAGCAGTAGATGAATCAGACTGGCATCTCAACAGAACCCTTGAGATTTCAGTGTTACTGAGATAACTAATAAGCCCATGATCTTCGATGGTTTTCTGAAGAAGGACCAAATGGCCATTGTTTTTGTTCTTTAGTGCTGAGCATATCAGACTAACAATGTTTTGAGGGTTTTGGGTTTCAGGTAGAAAGTTGTTAAGGGGATTTGAAATGGGTCTGGACCCATTATTGACTGTTAGAGTTTGGAGAAAATTTGACGATGACAATGATGTAAAATTCAATCTTGACTGCAAATTCTTGAAATCAATTAATAAATTTCCACTCGAACATGTGTATTTGATTGATTTCTGAGTTAGATTCATGGAAATATGCAAGAAAAAAATGGAGCTATACTTCAGCAAGAAAAGCTCAACTTAGACAGAAAATTACCGAAGGTAAATAGGAGATGAAATCTGAAGTTTCTGGTTCTACCATTTCCTCAAAATTCAAATTTACGCAGAACGGAGGAGTAAAGAAGGACTGCGACTCTGTCTGTTGCGCTCGGTTTGGATAGTGGAGCCAAAATTCTATTCTTAGGCGTTTGGAATTTTCAACTTCAGCTAAATATTGTCATTGAATTCTCGAATTTACTTTTTATTTTGGTGTAAAAGAAATGTCCATTTATATAATTAAGAAAAATTTAATATGTTTTTCCAAAATTAATCTTATGTACGTATCCCTAAAAAGTCTTTTACTCCTCACATTAAATTATGCTGCATCATTTAATTAAGGGTAATTTAATCATACTATCTAGTTTTGTCTAGATTTTAGTACTTCCTTAATAGGTGTGCCAAAAGTAAATTGGTAATATACAAGCCATATTTGTACTCTTTTGCAACGGCCTAAAGAAAAATATAAAGTTTCACATAAAAAAGAGCAAGTGCTTGTTGCCAAGGAGGAGACATTAGGGCATGCCATAAGCCAAGTAAAATGTAGGGAAGCCTCTTTGATTGGTATGCACGCAAGTTAAGCCTCTTACATAAAATTCAATTCATAAGGTTAGGAGTGTCAATGTAAATGGTTCGATTCAATAGCTTACTTTAAAAACCTTATTGTATGGGGTCGAATTCTGCCCACTATGGTAGCAACGACCCACGACTAAGCAATAGTTGAAGTAGAGGGGACGGCCTAAGAATGTCAGAGCGAAAGCGTGTCCTTAGGTCTCGTCGTCTCCTCTAAAGCACGTGACCTATCCCTGTATTATTTTATTATTTTCGAGGGGGTTCTCTTGTTATATAAAGGAGAATCCCAATGTTGTAAAGGTGAAGATCTTTTCAATAATAAGCTATTTTTTCTTTCTATTTCTCTCTCTCTCTCAGCAAGCTTTCTCTGACTCTCTCTCGAATATCCAAGTTGTTGAAACAATCACAAGCATAATACATATTTCTAGGTCTAATTATATTCGATTACGATTTACCTTTGATTCATTTTGAATGTTTTCGCTTACAAAGTAATTAGTATCTTTTGAGCCAAACAATTTGGCGCCGTCTGTGGGAATTTCGGCAATCGAAATCATAGTTTGCACCTAGAACATCAAAAATAAACCACCTTCCTTCACACCCTACTGAAATCGAAAAATAGCGGAAAATGACGCAAGATTGAAAGCAATAGCAGGCGTCACAACCAACCTCATAGGCCCCCTCAACGAGGCCGGCAGAGAAAACATCTTGAGCACAACACCTGGTAGCACTCAAGAGGGAGAAATCTCACCCTCCCCATCTGAAGATCTGACGATCATGCAAGAAAAGGGGGCTTCCACGTCTGTTGTCACGACCCGGATTTCCCACCCTCGAGGGTCGTGATGGCACCTACTAATAGGAGCTAGGCAAGCCAACTTAATTAATAAATTCATTAAACACATGTTCCTTTTTAACAATTAACGGTATTAAATAAAGGTGACGGAATTAAAATCATTAGCGGAAGACTTAAATGTAGATAGATGGTCGATAATACAGAAGTTCCAACACATATATCTCTACCCCGGGACTGGAGTCACATACTCACGAACATCTAAGGAGTACTACATACAAAGTCTGAAAGAAACATAATCTGTTTATCTCGAGCACAATGAGATGACAGCCAAATGTAAAGATAGAAGGGAGACGTCGGGCCTGCGGACTCCTGCAAGCTACCTTGGGTCTCTCTGGACTGAAGGTTCGCCCCCGTGCTAAGCTGCTGCTGCAGCTGCTGCTCAATACCTGGACCTGTGCAAAAATGCACAGAGTGTAGCATCAGCACAACCGACCCCATGTGCTGGTAAGTGCCTAGCCTAACCCCGGCGAAGTAGTGACGAGGCTAGACTGGACCCCACATAAACCTGTGCAATTATAAATATACAGCAGAAATCGAAGTACAAGGCAACTAACAGTATGGGAGGGGAAACATGCTGTGGGGGATAACAATATTAACAGTAAATCCAAAGTAATCAATCTAGGTGCAATTTATAATTTCCGACGATCAAGAAACTAATACCAACACCAAACACATTTGTATCACTAACTGTTGCGGCGCGCAACCCGACCCTAATATATTTCAACACTGTTGCGGCGTGCAACCCGATCCACAATTATCACTGTTGCGGCGTGCAACCCGATCCACAATTGTCACTGTTGCGGCGTGCAACCCGATCCACAATTATCACTGTTGCGGTGTGCAACCCGATCCACAATTATCACTGTTGCGGCGTGCAACCCGATCCACAATTATCACTGTTGCGGTGTGAAACCCGATCCACAATTATCACTGTTGCGGCGTGTAAACCGATCCGTAATGTCTACCTCTCAACCTTGCCCAAGCAACAGTCACAAATAAAGGGCAGGGAGTGAACAAGTATATAGAAGGAAATCCCAACAAGGGTACACAAACAACCAATAATGACCATGCAAGAGTAAATCGTTATTTCTCTTTTTCTTTCATTTTCATATCCTAGTTCTCATTAGCACTCGTGACAAGCTCCAAGGCATTTCTCATCTCATATACTCTCACCATTTATGTTTCAGACCGAGCCAATGCTCCACGAAGTTCCACGATCACAATATCTTTCACAAGGTGTTTACAACGCATAGAAGCCATCAATTAAGCATGGAAGGCATAACAATATCCAAACAATCCACATATAAGGAATCAAGGTCATGCTAGACCCCAATGTATAGGAACTCGTCACCATGCCTATACATCGTACTCGATCATTTAGCAATTAGCAAACAAGACTCGACTCCTATTCCCTCAAGCTAGGGTTAAACCAAACACTTACCTCAACTTCCACGGCCAATACAATCCTCCACAATCGCTTTCCCTCTCGAATTCGGCTCCAACTCAACCAAATCTATGCAATAAGGACTTCATATTATCAATGTGTGCTAAACAAATCAAACCCATTACCCCAAAAGGTCAAAAATGCCCCCGGGCCCACATGGTCAAAACCCGAGGTTCGAACCAAAACCCGATTACCCATTCCCCCATGAACTCAAATATGTAAGTTATTTTGGAATCGGACCTCAAATTGAGGTCCAAAACCCCCAATTTTAGAAAACCTAGGTTCTACCCTAAATTCCCAATTTCCCCATTAAAATCTTTGTTTTGAAGTTGAAATTATGTTTAAGGATGCTAAGGAGTTTAGAAAATCAGTTAGAAATCACTTACCAATCGTTTTGAAGAAGTAGAATCGTTTGAAAAATCGCCTCTTATATTTTGGGTTTTGAAAAAGTGAAAAAAATGACTGAAAATCCCGACTTTATATACTGTACTGAAGACCCGGCGCGGACCGCACAAAAATGCCCCGCGGCCGCGCCAAGGAAGAGTGGGGAAACCACTCTCTGAACCTACCCAGCGCGGACCGCACTGTTTTGGAGCGCGACCGCGCTGGAGGAATGAACCCAAATCCCACTCTCTGAATCTCCCAGCGCGGACCGCGCTGGTCGAACTGGAATTCACTGGCCGTCTGAACCTAGCCACGCGGACCGCGTAGAAATGCACCGCGGCCGCGCGCTTCCAGCGCGGACCGCGGCCGCGCTGGGGGCCTGCAACACCTGAACCTGCAACCATCTGTTATTTCTAGCCTAAGACCTCCCGGGACCTACTGAAAACTCACCCGAGTCCTCTAGGCTCCAAACCGAACATACATATAAACTCAAAAACATCCTACGGACTCATCCGTGCGATCAAATCGCCCAAACAATATCATAATCATCAAATTAGGCCTCTAGACCCAGGATTTCCTTCCAATTCTCATAGAACATCAAGTTTAGAATTTTTAGTCCAAAACACGTCAAACGACGTCCAAATTCAACCAAACTTTACAGAAAGTACTCAAACCGTATATAAGACTTGTACCGGGCGTCGGAACCAAAATACGAGCCCGATACCACAGTCTTTTAATCAAATTTCATTTCCAATTTCCTTAATTATTTTCAGAAAACAATTTCACACAAAAATTCATTTCTCGGGATTGGGACCTCGGAATTTGATTCCGGGCATACACCCAAGTCCCATATTTTCCTACGGACCCTCCGGGACCGTCAATCACGGGTCCGGGTCCGTTTTCCCAAAACGTTGACCGAAGTCAAACTTAATCAACTAAATACCAAGATTTAACAATTTTTCTCACAATTTCATATTTAAACTTTTCCGGCTATGCGCCCGAACTGCGCACACAACTCGAGGCAACCCCAAATGAGGTTTCCAGGGCCTCAGAAGTACAGAGGGAGTAGGAATACAGGTGATGACCCTTTGGGTCGTCACATTCTCCACCTCTAAAACAACCATTCGTCCTCGAACGGACAAAAGAAAGGAGTACCTGAGTCGGGGAAAAGATGGGGATAACGGCTCCGCATATCAGACTCGGACTCCCAGGTCGATGCCTCAGGAGGCTGACCTCTCCACTGAACACGGACATAAGGAAAACTCTTGGATCTCAACTGACGAACCTGCCGGTCCAGAATAGCTACCGGCTCCTCCTCGTAGGATACGTCCTTGTCCAACTGGACAGTACTGAAATCTAACACGTGGGTAGGATCGCCGTGATACTCCGAAGCATGGATACATGGAAAACTGGATGCACGGCTGATAAGCTGGGCGGCAACGCAAGTCTATAAGCCACCTCTCCCACTCGATCAAGAATATCAAATGGGCCAATGTACCTAGGGCTAAGCTTGCCCTTCTTCCCAAATCTCATCACGCCCTTCATAGGCGACACTCGGAGCAATACCCGCTCGCCAACCATGAAAGCTACATCTCGAACCTTACGGTCTGCATAACTCTTCTGCCTAGACTGAGCTGAACGAAGCCTCTCCTGAATGATCTTGACCTTGTCCAAGGCCTCTTGAACCAAATCCGTACCTATCAACCGAGCCTCTCCCACTCAAACCATCCAACCGGAGACCGACATCGCCTACCATATAAAGCCTCATAAGGAGCCATCTGGATGCTCGACTGGTAGCTGTTGTTGTAAGCAAACACCGCCAAAGGCAAGAACTGATCCCACGAACCTCCAAAATCAATAACACAAGCTCGGAGCATATCCTCCAAAATCTGAATAGTCCGCTCGGACTGACCATCCGTCTGGGGATGAAATGCGGTGCTCAAATCTACCCGTGTGCCCAACTCTCGCTGAACTGCTCTCCAGAAGCGTGAGGTAAACTGCGTACCCCGATCCGAAATGATAGACACGGGCACACCATGAAGGCGAACAATCTCCTGAACATAGATCTCAGCGAACCTCTCAGAAGAATAGGAGACTGCCACAGGAATAAAATGCGCTGACTTGGTCAGCCTATCAACAATAACCCATATCGCATCAAACTTCTTCTGGGTAAACGGAAGTCCAGTAACAAAGTCCATAGTAGTCCGCTCCCATTTCCACTCGGGAAGCTCAATCCTCGGATGTAAACCACCAAGCCTCTGATGCTCGTACTTAACCTGCTGACAATTCAAACAACAAGCCACATATGCTACGATATCCTTCTTCATCCTACGCCACCAATAATGCTGCCGCAAGTCCTGATACATCTTCACGGCGCCCGGGTGAATAGAGTACCTGGAGCTATGGGCCTCCTCTAAAATCAACTCTCGAAGCCCATCCACATTGGGCACACAAACTCGCCCCTGCAATCTTAAAACTCCATCCGCATCTAAGGTAACCTGCTTGGCACCTCCTCGCTGCACCGTCTCTCTAAGGACACATAAATGGGGATCATCAAACTGCCGATCACGGATACGCTCCAATAACGAAGAATGAGCAACCGTGCAAGCTAACACACGACTGGGCTCAGAAACATCCAGTCTCACGAACTGATTGGCTAAAGCCTGAACATCCAAAGAAAGCGGCCTCTGACTGACTGGAATATAAGCAAGACTGCCCATACTGGCTGACTTCCTACTCAAAGCGTCGGCCACCACATTGGCCTTCCCCGGATGATATAAAATAGTGACATCATAATCCTTCAACAAATCCAACCACCTCCTCTGCCTCAAATTCAACTCCTTCTGCTTGAACAAGTACTGAAGACTCTTGTGGTCGGTGAACACCTCACATGCCACGCCATACAAATAGTGCCTCCAAATCTTCAAGGCGTGGACAAGCTGCCAACTCTAAATCATGCACTGGATAGTTTTTCTCATGAATCTTCAACTGCCTCGAAGCATAGGCTATGACCTTGCCATCCTGCATCAATACTGCACCAAGTCCAATTCGGTAAGCATCATAATAGACGGTATAAGGCCCAGATCCTATGGGCAAGACCAACACCGGTGCCGTAGTCAGGGCTGTCTTGAGCTTCTAAAAGCTCGCCTCACACTCCTCCGACCATCTGAACTGGGCACCCTTCTGGGTCAACCTGGTCATCGGGGCTGCAATAGATGAAAACCCCTCCACAAACCGACGGTAGTAGCCTGCTAACCCCAAGAAACTCCGAATCTCCGTAGCTGATGCTGGTCTAGGCCAGTTCTTGACTGCCCCTATCTTCTTTGGGTCCACCTGAATACCCTCAGCTGATACAACGTGACCCAGAAATGCTACTGAACTCAGCCAGAACTCACACTTGGAGAACTTGGCATATAACTGACTGTCCCTCAGAGTTTGAAGAACCACTCTAAGGTGCTGCTCGTGCTCCTCCTGGCTGCGGGAGTACACCAAAATATCATCAATAAAGACTATCACGAACATGTCCAAATATGGCCTGAACACTCGGTTCATCAACTCCATGAATGCTGCTGGGGCATTGGTCAACCCAAACGACATGACCAAGAACTCGTAATGCCCGTACCGAGTACGGAAAGCTGTCTTAGGGACATCGGATGCCCTAATCCTCAACTGGTGGTAGCCAGATCTCAAGTCAATCTTGGAAAATACCCTGGCACCCTGAAGCTGGTCGAACAAATCATCAATCTTCGGCAGTGGATACTTATTCTTAATTGTTACCTTATTCAATTGCCGGTAATCTATACACATCCACATCGACCCATCCTTCTTCTTGACGACTAACACTGGCGCGCCCCAAGGCGAAACGTTGGGTCTAATGAAACCCTTATCTAACAGATCCTGCAATTGGTCTTTTAACTCCTTCAGCTCCGGCGGGGCCATACGATATGGCGGAATAGAAATGGGCTGGGTGCCTAGAGCCAAATCAATACAGAAATTGATATCTCTATCGGGTGGCATACCCGGCAGGTCCGAAGGAAAAATATCGGGAAACTCCCGGACAATAGGCACAAAATCTATGGGAGGGACCTCAGCACTGGAATCACGAACATAGGCCAAATAGGCCAGACACCCCTTCTCGACCATACGTCGAGCCTTCACGTACGATATAACACTACGGGTAGAATGACCTGGAGTCCCCCTCCACTCTAAGCGAGGCATACCCGGTAAGGCTAAAGTCACGGTCTTGGCATGGCAGTCCAAGATAGCGTGATAGGGTGATAACCAATCCGTACCCAGGATGATATCAAAGTCAACAATATCTAAGAGCAACAAGTCTACACGGGTCTCAAGACCCCCAATCACTACAACACACGAACGATGGACTCGGTCGACCACGATAGAGTCACCCACCGGTGTAGACACATATACAGGAATACCCAAAGCATCACTAGGCATGACCAAGCATGGTGCGAAATAAGATGAAACATATGAATACGTAGATCCTGGATCAAATAGTACTGAAGCATCTCGATCACAAACCAGAACTGTACCTGTGATCACCGCATCTGAGGCCTCTGCCTCGGGCCTAGCCTGGAGTGCCTAGCAACGGGGCTGAGCCCTACTACCCAGAACTGTATCCCTAGGTCGATCTGCTGCTAGCTGACCTCCGCCCCTAGCGGTCTGACCCCATCTCTATAGCCTTTACCTCCACCTCTATGGCCTCTACCTCCACCTCTAGCTGGCTGTGGAGCATCCGATGCCTGAATCATAGGACGGGGACCCTGCTGCTGCGACTGAGTACCCCTCAATCTCGGGCAAGCTCTCCTGATGTGACCATACTCACCACACTCATAACACCCCTCTGAACGCTGTGGCTGGCCCTGGCGACCTGAATGACCTCCACGGAAACTCTGAAGTGGCGGTGCGCTAATGGGAGCTGACGGTACACTGAGGGACTACTGATCAGAATAATGCCCACGGTAACCACGATCACTTGGGGCACCCTGAGAAACCTGGAGGGCTGACTGGAAAGGCCTGGAGGGCTGACCCCTATCATAAGAATCCCTGCCTCCAGATGAGGCACCACTGAAACGACCTGAGTGACGGGGTCTCTTGTCTGCTCCATGGCTACCCCCCTGTGCCAGAACCATCTAAACTCGACGGGCCACATTGGCCGCCTCCTGAAAGCTGATCTCACTACCAGTCTCCCTAGCCATCTGGAGACGAATCGGCTGAATCAAACCATCAATAAATTCCTCTCCCTCTCCCTCTCAATGGGGAGTATGACAAGAGCATGGCGAGCTAGATCGATAAACCAGGTCTCATATTGAGTGACCGTCATAGACCCTTGCTGGAGGCCCTCAAAATGCCTCCGATAAGCCTCCCTCTGAGTAACGGGAAGAAACTTCTCCAGAAACAACTCTGAAAACTGATCCCAAGTCAAAGGCAGCGACCCCGCTGGTCTGGCTAAACAGAAATCCCTCCACCAAGTCTTGGCGGACCCAAATAAACGGAACGCGGCAAAATCAACTCCATTGGACTCCACAATGCCCATGTTCCGAAGAACCTCGTGGCAGCTATATAAGAAATCCTGGGGGTCCTCTGAAGAAGCACAGCTGAAAGTGGTGGTGAAGAGCTTGGTGAACCTATCCAGTCTCCACGAAGCATCTGCAGACATAGCCGCTCCATCGCCGGTCTGAGTCATAATACCCGACTGAGCTGCCACAACTGGCTGAACCACTGGAACCTGAGCCTGGGGAGCTACCTGCTCCGGAGTACGTGCAGCAGGAGTTTGAACTCTTCCTCCAGCCTGGGAAGTGGCTGGTGCTACTGGAAGCAAACCCACTCTAGTGACGCTCTCCACAAAGCCTACCAATCTGATCAAAGCGTCCTGAAGAACTGGGGTGGCTATAAACCCCTCTGGGACCTGAGCTGGGCCTACTGGCGCTGCTGGGACTGGGGCCGGAACCTCCTCGTCAAAACTGACCTGAGGCTCCACCGCTGGTGCTGCTGCTCAGGGCTGAGCTCTGCCCCTACCTCGGCCTCTAGCACGGCCTCGTCCTCTGCCCCTAGCGGGAGCTGCGTGGGGCTCGGACTGCTGGTCTGAAGATGAGGAAGCGCTTGTTCTCGCCATTCTCCGAGGAAACAGAGTAGAAGTTCAATTAGCATTGAGAAACCAAACCGCACGACAAGAAAGAACAAAGGAGAGATTTTTCCTAACTTGACAGCCTTTGGGAATAAGTACAGACGTCTCCGTACCGATCCCTCAGACTCTACAAAGCTTGTCCGTGAGTTGTGAGACCTATGTAACCTAGAGCTCTGATACCAACTTGTCACGGCCCGGATTTTCCACCCTCGAGGGTCGTGATGGCGCCTACTAATAGGAGCTAGGCAAGCCAACTTAATTAATAAATTCATTAAACACATGTTCCTTTTTAACAATTAATGGTATTAAATAAAGGTGACGGAATTAAAATCATTAGCGGAAGACTTAAATGTAGATAGATGGTCGATAATACAGAAGTTCCAACACATATATCTCTACCCCGAGACTGGAGTCACATACTCACGAACATCTAAGGAGTACTACATACAAAGTCTGAAAGAAACATAATCTGTTTATCTCGGGCACAATGAGATGGCAGCCAAATGTAAAGATAGAAGGGAGACGCCGGGCCTGCGGATGTCTGCAAGCCACCTCGGGTTTCTCTGGACTGAAGGTTCGCCCCCGTGCTAAGGCTGCTGCTGCTCAATACCTGGACCTGAAAAATGCACAGAGTGTAGCATCAGCACAACCGACCCCATGTGCTGGTAAGTGCCTAGCCTAACCCCGGGGAAGTAGTGACGAGGCTAGACTGGACCCCACATAAACCTGTGCAATTATAAATATACAGCAGAAATCAAAGTACAAGGCAACTAACAGTATGGGAGGGGAAACATGCTGTGGGGGATAACAATATTAACAGTAAATCCAAAGTAATCAATCTAGGTGCAATTTATAATTTCCGATGATCAAGAAACTAATACCAACACCAAACACATTTGTATCACTAACTGTTGCGGCGCGCAACCCGACCCTAATATATTTCAACACTGTTGCGGCGTGCAACCCGATCCACAATTATCACTGTTGCGGCGTGCAACCCGATCCGTAATGTCTACCTCTCAACCTTGCCCAAGCAACAGTCACAAATAAAGGGCAGGGAGTGAACAAGTATTTGGAAGGAAATCCCAACAAGGGTACACAAACAACCAATAATGACCATGCAAGAGTAAATCGTTATTTCTCTTTTTCTTTCATTTTCATATCCTAGTTCTCATTAGCACTCGTGACAAGCTCCAAGGCATTTCTCATCTCATATACTCTCACCATTTATGTTTCAGACCGAGCCAATGCTCCACAAAGTTCCACGATCACAATATCTTTCACAAGGTGTTTACAACGCATAGAAGCCATCAATTAAGCATAGAAGGCATAACAATATCCAAACAATCCACATATAAGGACTCACGGTCATGCTAGACCCCAATGTATAGGAACTCGTCACCATGCCTATACATCGTACTCGATCATTTAGCAATTAGCAAACAAGACTCGACTCCTATTCCCTCAAGCTAGGGTTAAACCAAACACTTACCTCAACTTCCACAACCAATACAATCCTCCACAATCGCTTTCCCTCTCAAATTCGGCTCCAACTCAACCAAATCTATGCAATAAGGACTTCATGTTATCAATGTGTGCTAAACAAATCAAACCCAATGACTAATTATAGCTTTTTCATCAATTTACCCCAAAAGGTCAAAAATAGTTATTTTGGAATCGGACCTCGAATTGAGGTCCAAAACCCCCAATTTTAGAAAACCTAGGTTCTACCCAAAATTCCCAATTTCCCCATTAAAATCTTTGTTTTGAAGTTGAAATTATGTTTAAGGATGTTAAGGAGTTTAGAAAATCACTTAGAAATCACTTACCAATCGTTTTGAAGAAGTAGAATCGTTTGGAAAATCGCCTCTTATGTTTTGGGTTTTGAAAAAGTGAAAAAAATGACTGAAAATCTCGACTTTATATACTGTACTGAAGACCCGGCGCGGACCGCACAAAAATGCCCCGCGGCCGCGCTGAGGAAGAGTGGGGAAACCACTCTCTGAACCTACCCAGCGCGGACCACACTGTTCTGGAGCGCGACCGCGCTGGAGGAATGAACCCAAATCCCACTCTCTGAATCTCCCAGCGCGGACCGCGCTGATATGGCACGCGGCCGCGCTGGTCGAACTGAAATTCACTGGCCCTCTGAACCTAGCCACGCGGACCGCGCAGAAATGCACTGCGGCCACGCGGCTTCCAGCGCGGACCACACGGAAATGACCGCGGCCGCACTGGGGGCCTGCAACACCTGAACCTGGAACCATCTGATATTTCTAGCCTAAGACCTCCCGGGACCTACTCAAAACTCACCCGAGCCCTCGGGGCTCCAAACCGAACATACATTGTCACACCTCTTTTTTTACACACCTACCCCGAAGGATAAATGTATAAGGGAGTTTTTCCATTTAAAGTGATATTATTCGAAATTGGATTATTTATTTATTTTATAGAGTCGCCACTTGGGAAAGGATTGGCTTTTGGTGTCCCAAGTCACCGATTTAATTTAAATCCCAAATCGAGGAAAATTTCGACTTCCCAATTGGAGTCTGCGAACCAGAAATTCTGAATAAGGAATTCTGTTGACCCGAGGGAAGGTGTTAGGCACCCCCGGATCTCGTGGTTCTAGCACGGTCGCTTAAATTATTATAAATGGCTAAAC